TACCTGGGTGCAAAGATTTTTTTTTTTTTGCAATTTACATATAGTATATTAGTCAGCTTCCCATTACTATAACAAATACCTATATAATTTTTTTGGGGGTACTGGGGATCAAACTAGGGACCTTGCGCTTGCGAGGCAGGTGGCTGAAAAATACCTATATAATTAACTTAAAGAGACAGTGTTGACTTACTGCACAATTCTGGAGGTTCCAGCTCAAGATCATGCAGATCCATTGTTTTGGTCTTCTAGCGAGGGATCCAGGTAGTGATGGCAGGTCTGGTGAAACAAGGAATTCCATACATTGTTGGTGAAGTACAAAATGGTACGATTTTTATGAATGTAAGAATTGTAATATCTCACAGAATTATAAACACGGTTAACCTCTGACCAATAATCTACTTTTAGGTATCTATTCTGAAGCTATTCTTTTATTTTTTAAGAAATAATTTCATTTAATTTGTGTATTTTTATTTGTGGTATTTTGTCTCAGTAACGGAAAGCTGGTTGAAACAAGGAAAAAAACATATATATTGGAAAACTTGTGTTGATAATTACACAACATGAAGCTATTCTTGTACAAAGTTGAAATAACATTTGTGTAAAGTTACTCAATAGCTGAGCATGATAGTGCATTCTCATAATTAGGAGGCTGAGAAAGAAGCATCACAAGTTCAAGGCCAGCCTGGCCACTTAGGGAGACACCATCTCAAAGTAAAAGGGCTGGGGGATTGCAGCTTAGTGGCAGAGTGCTTGCCTAACACACCCAAGGCCCTGGGTTCAATCCCCAACATCACAAAATAAATATGTTAGTTATTGGGCCGGGATTTAGCTCAGGGGCACTGCGCCTGCCTCTCAAGTGCGAGGTCCTGAGTTCGATCTCCGGTACCAAAAAAAAATGTAAGGTATTCTTTATGGTACTATTTATAGTGGCAAATATGGGAAACATCCCTAGAGTTCTTCAGTACAGGGTGGGTAAAAAAAAATATGTTATAACCGCCAAACTATTGTGTATCTGTTAAAATTAATGAGGAAGCTCAATATGATCTGATATAAAGTAATTGACAGTAAATATCAAGTGAAGCAATAAAGTGTAGATCAGTGTTAATAGTATGCTATCTTTTTTGTAAGTAAGGGAAAGAAATAAAAATACATATATATTTATAGAAAATGCTGGAAGTATAAACCAGAAACTATTAAGAATGGTTTCTTCTAGATGTGCCAATGGGGTTGGGTCTGGGAGGCAGGAAGAAACCCAGCTGTTCTCAGGGTGCCTTTTATATAGCTTCGCCTTGTGAGCCTGTGAATATTTCTCAAAATATAAATCCAGGTCTAAAAGGGATAGAAGCAAATCTTAAAGTGAAAGAAAGAAGGAAATTATCCTAACTATATATCAAAATAACAGCTTATTGAGCCCAGCAGGCCTGGGCAACTTACTGACTTAGCAAGACCCTGTCTCAAAATGCAAAACTTGTATTTAGTTTTTTCAAAATGAAAAAAAATTTAAAAGGGCTGGGAATGTAGCTCAGTCCAAAGGCCCTGTGTTTTTAAAAAAAAAGTGTAATAAGGGCCAGGGATTTAGCTCAGTGGTTTCGCCACCTGCTGCACAAGCCCAAGGACCCGAGTTCGATCCCTGGTTCCAAAAAAAAAAAATGTAATATATCACACAAGGAATATATATTTTTTTGGGACAGGGTCTCACTGTGTAGCTCAGGCTTGCCTTGAACTCTTATGTAGTCCAGGCTGGCCTTGAACTCATGGCGATCCTCTTGTCTTAGCCTCCTGAGTGCTGGGATAACAGGTGTGCCCCACAATGCCCAACATGTAATATAATTTTATTTATTTATTTATTTTTGGTACTGAGGATCGAACTTGGGACCTTGAACTTGTGAGGCAGGTGGTGGCACCACTGAGCTAGGTCCCCGGCCCCTTATAATTTTAAAAAACAATTTTATAACACTTTGTACATTTTTTTTTTTTTTGAGACAGGGTCTCACTAGTAATTCGGGCTGTCCTTGTCGTTGAGCTCACTATGTAGCCCAGACTGGCCTTATCATAACGATCTTCCTGCCTCAGCCTCCCAAGTGCTGGGACTACAGGTGTGTACCACCACAGGTGGCAGTACTTCATAAATCTTCTGGTAGGACAAAAGAAATCTATAAAGTAACTTTGACCCTCATTCAATAGGTAGTGTCCTCATTATTTGCTGGTAGAGTTATACAAGTAAGGAATCATGTTCCTATTATTAAGAACCAGGGTTTTCAGGGCCCGGGATTTAGCTCAGTTGCACCAGCCTTGCCTTGCAAATGCAAGGTCCTAAGTTCGATTCCCAGTACCAAAAAGAAAAAGAACCAGGGTTTTCAAATTAGGATAAATACAAGTATAAATTCAAAAGACTTTTTAAAATGCTATAAATATTAAATTTGAGTTGGAAATGTCAGCGCAAAGTCATTTGTTAGTGCTTTTTCTAATATTGTGCTTTAGAAGCAATAGGACCTGAGGATTTAGCTCAGTGGTGCCGTGCCTGCCTGGCAAGCACAAGGTCCTGAGTTCGTTCCCTGGTACAAAAAAAAAGAAGCAATAGCAACTGGTGCTTAGATTTTGAGCTCCACATACTGTTCTCTGCTAAGAGCAAACAGGATCCCGTGGGGAAATGGTTGATTCCTGGTCTAGAGCAGTGCTTTTTAGTATTTTTTAAAATTTGCTTCCCACCTTAGGAGCCTTTGTAGATTTTTTTTTTGGGGGGGTACCCGCGATCGAACTCGGGTCCTTGCACTTGTGCAGCAGGCGGTGAAACTGCTGAGCTAAATCCCCCGGCCTCTCTTTGTAGATTTTTCAAAAACCTAATTACCCTCTACCACGTGGAAATTTGCTGCCACAGCTACCTCATGTGTTTGTTTATGTATTGTCACTATCTGATGTGTCACACACCTTTAGAGTATCTAAGGCTTTTCCCTCCTTACCAAGAGCCAGTTACTTTGAGGGTACATGGCAAACAGGACAAGGAAAGCACATGGTCTGGGCACACTGTAACAGAAAGCAAGGGACCAGTCTAGCCAGAAGCCGCTCCCACGGACTGGAATGGAAATAAGTGGAGCATTACCAAGAGTAGTTGTTTTTGTTTTTGGTACCGGGGATTGAACTCGGGACCTTGCGCTTGCCAGGCAGGCACTGGAACCACTGTGCTAAATCCCTGGCCAACCAAGAGTAGTTCTGTAATTGATTGAAGTACACTGAATGTATAAAAATTCACAAGCTCATAATCTTACAAAAAAGAAAATAAATGTAAAATATTCATCTGCCATCACTGGAGAATACTTTTTATCATCTCTTTACCCTAAAATCTAATTAAAGGAAAATAAGTACTAGTCTTTCAGTGAGAACTAATTCAGTATAATTAAATAGGTCCAGATGAAGAGGAAAAGCTGTTCTTTACAGAAGATATGCCAGCTGATAATTATCCAATTGAGTCGCCACTTGACACCCCTATAAAATAATTAAGTCTTGTCAGTGGGTACTGACACCATTAAGTGATTATTGATGGGAAACTAGACATCCCCAAAGAGTCACCCAGGCTCCGAGGGGGAACTTCACAACAGGGAGAGCTCATGGGCAACCCTGACCCAGTGAGTAAACAGCCTTACCCGAGAGACACATGTCTCCAGAACTGTGTTATGCATGCAGTATGAAATACACAAGATCACCTCTTAAAGGGTCCTTTCAAAACTATTTCACCTGAATCATCTAGCCAGGTCTTTCAGACCTAGCTCCTGGTGCACAGGAAATACAGAGGACATGACATAAGTTAAATGATTGTGAGAGGGCACAATCAGACAGGCCCAGAGTGTGGAACCTGACGTTCTGCAAGACAACGTTCTTTGCAGAAAGTTACTATAAAAAGATGTAGGGGGTACTATTCTAGACAAGAGATTTGTTTGTTTATTTATCCATCTATTTTTCTTTTGAGACAGGGTTTCACTTATGTAGTTCAGGCTGGCCTTGAGCTCTAGACATCCCAGGCTGGCCCCTAACTTGCAGTGATCCTCCTGCCTCAGCCTCCCATTGCCCAATCACAGGCATGCACCACCACACCCAGCTGTATAAGAGATTTTAGGTATTAAGAAAGCAATGCAGGGCCGGGGGAATTAGCTCAGTGGTTCCGCCTCCTGTTTCGCAAGCACAAGGACTCAAGTTCGATCCCCAGTACCAAAAAAAAAAAGAAAGCAATGCGTGATCATGTATGGATCCTGCTACATAAGACATTTTGGGAATAAATACAGAAAAGTGGGTATGGACTGGCTATTGGATGACATTAGGCAATTATTTTTGATTTTGTCCAGTGAATTAATGGTGTGTGGCTATGTAGAAAAAATTCCTTATATTTTAGAGATATATATATTAAAGTATTGGGAGGTGAAATGTTTCATGTCTGACATTTATTTTAAAGAACTTCAGCATGAAGAAAAGGATGAAGCAAAACCAGCAAAGTTTGGTAGACAGGGTGGTGCACACCTGTGATCCCAGCTGCCTGAGAGGCTGGAGCAGGAGGACTGCAAGCTTGAGGCCAACGTAGGCAATAAAAAATAAAAAACGCTGGGGATATAGCCCAATGAGAGCATGCCCCTAGGTTCAATCCCCAGGACTGTTTTGAAAAGATATGTTAAATCTAGGAAATGAGTATATGAACATTGACTGTGCTAGTCTCTCAAGTCTTTTTTTTGTTTTTGTACCAGGGATCAAACTCGGGTCCTTGTGCTTGCGAAACAGGCAGTGGAACCACTGAGCTAAATCCCTATCCCTAATCTCTCAATTCTTTAAAAATAAGTTTGAAATTTTTCATAATACAAAGTTTAAAAAATTGAAAATGGTTTGAGTAAAGGGGCCCTAGTTACGCTACTTCTTGGCTCCAGAGTGATAGTTAGCTTTGACCTGTGCTGCAGTCCTGTGACTCTTGGATTCTTCGTCTGCCTTGTGTTCTTCTGCCCTCCCTTCCACCCCTGCAGCCCTCTTTGAATCTATGCACTGCACCCAGGCCTCCGAGGGCCCATTTTCCCCGCCCCGCGCGCTTCATTCACCCCCCCTGCAGCTCCAGCAGCGCTCTGAGAAGCCTCCGTGGTGTAAGTAAACGTTCTCTACCTGCCAAGACGAAGGCCGAGAGGGGTGGAGGGGATGGTGGAGGAGGGGCCTGTCCCGTGAAGGGGAGAAGCACAAGGGCTGTGTGCCAGGAACGGCTGTTTGGGAGGGAGCCTCATCTCCTGTTTCCCAGAGAGGGAACGTCTGCTTGTGCCTCCTTCTCCTCAGAGAGGGCGGCCCAGAGCACATCTGGGGAGAAGGCAGAGACAGCCCTTTCCTCAGACCCCCTTCTGGCCTTGCTGTGCCTTTGTCTGGTACAGGTGACTGGGAAGCAACCTAGGTTCACAGAACAACGGGAGGCAGGGAGCTGAAGTTTGCTCCTCATTTCTGCATGTCCCTTTTCTCAAGCTGCCTCAGCTTGTTGAAGAGGAATGTCCCAGACGTTCAGTGGGCCCACAGGAAGTCTTGGGCTGACTGCAGAGAAGAGGATACCCGTGCCAATGGGAGGTGGGCATGATGGCCAAGGCGGCAGGAAGGGAACATTCCCTTCCTCATCGTCCTACCTCTAGGGAATAACTGAAACCCCAGCGTGCCTTTCATTATCAGTAGAGAGCCCTGACAACAAGATCTGCTTTTCAGCATCGGGACTGACAGTTGTAGAACTTTGCACTTCTTTGGACGCTCTGTGAAAAGAAAAGACTTTCCTCCCTGACACCAGGAATTCTGCTGAATTTCCTATTATCCCACGTCCACCTTGTGATTGCCCCCTTTGCTCTCCTCTCCTGGAGTGTTCATGGCAAATCTTACACTTTTCCCTCTTCTGTTTCTCACTGAGCTCTTTGGTTTGCCTGAGTCAGATCACTAGCTAGATAGTAAGGCCACTTCTATACTTGGGGAAAGCTTGGCTTACACCTTTGCTTCTTCTTTCTCTTGTTTCTTCTTTTGGTTCCGGGGATCGAACTCTGGTCCTTGTGCTGTCAAGGCAGGCACCGGAACCACTGAGTCTTTCTCTTTTCTTTCTGGTATCAGACCTTCATTCATAAACATCTTTTTGGGGATCTGTCTGTGTTCTGTACCAGAAACAGGCTGCATATCTTTAAAACTTGGCTTGGCCCAAAACTATATTCCTCTTTTTTTCTGCTTGAAGTGTACCTCCTCTGTCCCTTCACAGAAGAGAGATAACTACTGTATCTTAAACTCAACAACTGAGTTTTGCAAGATCAGACTTGCCAACTTTCCCAGATTCTCTTTGATGATAATATAATCAGGTGTTTTCTGTTTCCAGAATCTATCATTATTGATACCATAGTGCTTTAATATATAGTTATAACACCATTGGTGAATATGATGTTTGCAAAGGGAAAAATTAGTCTGAGGTTGGGGTTGGACTCATCCCACAGGGTAATTGAAGGCTCTAAGGTCTTTATACTACTGGCAGGATCTGAGAAGTTAGTTTTTGTATTTTTCCTTTTTCTTTTTGGTACCAGGGATCGAACTCCAGATCTTGCGCTTACGAGGCAGGCAGTGAAACCACTGAGTTATGTCCCCGGCCCTAGTTTCATATTTTTCTGTGTGTGTTATAAGCACAGTTTTGTAACATTCTATGTCCCAACATTTACAGTGTCTCAACCTTGGATCTGTGGATGGGCTTCAGGGTAGTCTGTGAGCCCCAGTAATCATATGTAAAGGTGAATGTGAAAAGTTGCACACATAAACTTTTCCTGGAAGATAATTCATGACTTTCACGAGTATCTCAGAGGGTTCATTGACTCCCAGAAAGGCTAAGAACTTCTGCCAGCCAGGCACACTGGTGCATGCCTGTAATTTCAGCTGCTCAGAAGGCTGAGACAGGAAGATTGCAAGTTTGAGAGGTGCCTGGGCAACTTAGCAAAATCCTGTCTCAAAATAAAATAAAAAAGAGTGGGGATTGTAGCTCAGTGGTAGAGTGCTCACCTAGCATGCATAAGGCCCATAACCACAAAAAACAAAACAAAGCAAAGCAAAGCATAAAATCTGCCACTTGCAGATGCCATGGCAGTCTTCCATCTTTGCATAAACCATTTTCTTTCCTACTATTCTGTCGCACAGGGGTTTTCCACATTTTCTTTTCTTTTTTAAAGGAGGAGAGTTCTTAGCTCACACTTTGTAGAGGTTTCAGTCCTTGCTCCAAGGCAGGGTGCCATGGCAGAGGGGTATCACAGAGGAAAAACAGTTCAAGGTGGGCAGAAGGTAGCAAAGCAAGCAAGGGACAAGAAAAGCCTTTTTCTCTCCCTTATATGGTATCCAGGCTACCTGGATTAAGGTGCCAAGCCATCAGTGGACTGATTTAGTAATCACCCACCCTTAATCCTAGCATTGCACCATGAGTCATCACATACTCTAGATTCAACCACCTCTGAAGAAGCCTCACTGCATGAGGCTTTGGAAGGACCTCTAGACAGAAGCCATAACATTCCACCCCTGCCCCCCAAAGACTCATGCACATCCCTTTACACAAAAGGCAGTTAGTCCATCTTCAAGAGTTGCCAAAGTCTGACAGTCTCAGCATTGCTGAAAAGTCCAAGTCCCAAGTCTCCTCTGAGATTGAAGGCAAACTCTTAGCTGTGAGCCCTGTGCAAATGCGAAGAAAGTCAAACACGTCCAACATTCAGTGGCACAAGAGAGACACTGTTATTCCAAGACGTACAAAGAGGGGTATAGAAAGGAATGGGAACAAAGGCCAGGGATTTAGCTCTGTGGTTTGGCTGCCTTCCTCACAAGCGCAAGGTCCCAAGTTCGATCCCCGGTACCCCCAAAAAAAGAAAGGAGTGGGAACAAAGCAAGTCCACAACCCAGCAGGACAAACCCATGTCCTGCGACAAGATGTGAAGTCCAAAGGGCTTGAGTGGCTCTGCCCCTACAGCACTTCTAGTGGTTGGAGCTCCCATGGCTTTTCTCTGGTACATTTTCTTGCTTACTTATCTCTTGCCACATAAACAATGATTACCTCTGCCTGAGAAATACATTGATCACTTTTAACAATGATTCCAGTCCAATTACATCAGATTACATCACGTTCAACTGAGACTGTGTCAGCAAAATGATACTCTTCGCATCCTCTCCCCTCCCCACCCACACCTTCACACTAAACATATAGAACTAGAGTCCCTGGAGACAAAACTTGGAAATTTGGATTTTAAAACTGTTTTTTCACATCTTTGATATATAACCTAATTATGAACCATTGGACTAAAATGTTTCTGTGCATCTGAGGTAGGAATGAGGAGCTATGGGGATTCGAAGTCAGGTTGGGAGTGTATTTGTGAAATAACCAGATGAAGTATGTCTCATTTCTCTCTTGAAGTCTTAGATGGACCTTAGTGCTATTCCTATAGTAGGCCAGGGTGACATTTTCTGAGCTGGACAATCTAAGGTGTCTACCAAACATAGGAAGAATCAGATCTTCTCTCCCCAGAACATGAGCATCACAGACCATCTATTCTAGCATTTGAACCCCATGCATAGGGTAAAGCTGGCTCTTCCAGTTTTCCTGACTTGGTCTCCTGACTTTGCTTTACAGATAGCAGTGGCCCTTCCAGTACTGTGTCCAGTGCTGGTCCTTCCTCTCCTACCACTGTGGATGGCAATTCCCATTTTGGCTTCAGTGACCAACCCTTCCTTCATGCACATGTGACTGAAAAGAGTCAAGGACTTGAGCTGCTCCAGGGGCCCCCTGGACATAGTACACAAGAGCTCCCCATAGGAGGGCAGCAAGAGCTTTTTGAACCAAACCAGTCCCTGCAGGAGTCATCTGTGGAAACCAACAAGCCAGGAGGCCAGGAGATTGCTGAGGTCAGCCAGCCATACCAGAAGAGCCATGACTCTGTTAACCACACATGCCAGCCATGCCAGAAGGCCAGCCAACCGTACCAGAAAGTCTCAGAGGAAACTTGGCAGGTTTTCCAGGAGAAGCCTGAGGAGGTCAGCCAGCCAAACCAGGGGGTCCCTGTGGAGGCTGACAGGCTGGTCCATGGGTTCCCTGAGGGGCTTGGGGGCCCAGTCCAGGAAACCCTTGTGGAAGTTCACAGACCAAACCAAGAGACTCCTAAAGAGCCCAGCCAGCCATACCAGGAGTTCTTTGTAGCGGTTGGTAGATTGGCCCAAGAGGCTTCTGTGGTCAGTCTGTCATCTCAGGACATCTCTGAGGTTGATAAACCATCCCAGGAGCTCCCTGCAGTGATAGATTTGCAGGCCCAGGAAGTCCCTGAGGAGGTTAATGAGCAGGCTTGCGTGGTCCCTGAGGTGACCAATCAGCTGCCTAGAGAGGATGTTCCCCAAGCCCAGTGTCTGCTGAGTGACCCAGACCCTCAAAGCCAGTCTCTAGCCCATGGCCAGCACTCACCCCTTTCACCAGCAACCTGCGATCAACCATCTTCTCACTAATGGTGTCTCCCTGCACCAGCCGTGTGCCAGCAGCCTTTCCTGTTGACTCTCACCAGCCAGAGAGAGGAGCGGCCCGCCACAGAGATGTCTGAGGGAGCTGGCCTCGATATGAAGCACACACTCGTGTCAGTGCTCCGCTGGGGGAAGGTCAGTTCCATGTTCAGAACGGCCTTCGGCTCCTTCCTTAGCCATTAGATTGCAGCAGGATTTTCTTGGGGTAACTCATCTGTCCTTACCTAACCTACTCTGAGCACTGCAGGAAATTCCAGATTGTTACAGGAAATGGCGCTTACCTGCTAAAGATACCAATGAGGGCCAGCAAGTGTGAGAAGGGACGCCAGAGCCATTCTGTGGGAAAACATCCACCACTTTTAAAGGTACCCTCTAGATCATGTGTGCCAGGGTCAGCCAGGATGGCCATCTGAAACGTCTGGAAGACAGTTCCCTTCCCAAACAAATGTCTGTCAGAGCCACTACTCTCAGACTGACCTTACGGGTGTTTCCATATCATCTCCGGGTGCCCCCTGTGCCCAGTTCTGCTCCTCTACACAATTGTTTTAGGGAAAAGTAGGTATTAGTTTGCTGAGCAGCTCCTGGCCATGCCCTGAAACTGGGCCCCCTTTGCTGTGGAGCTTTTTTGGCCTACAAGATGCTATCGTAGACAGAATCAGGTTCTATTTTAAGAGATTAGCAGAGATCAATATTGTAAAGATGAGAACATAAATATTTCTCTAATTTGCCAGGGACAAAGCACAGACTGGCCAAAGACCAAACACTCCAGAGTCCCCACAAAGTTTGTTTTATATCATGTGTTTTTAAGACCAGATGTGATTATGAAGCTTTTCCCAAAGATCTGGGGATGGAGTGGGGGTGGGTAGAAGGGATAATGCAGTCATTAGAGTCGGGGGCCGGAACATTTTGAGTGCTTAATAAATATGAAGTAATCAGAATGGTGGTGGTAGTGATGATGTTTTTCTGAATTTAAGAATGAACGTGACTGTGAATCCATCATATCTGTGACTGAATCTGAATCAGTCAGAACCCATCATAGTTGAGCAGAAATGGGCTGTAAAACTATAGAGATCTGGCATCCCAGAAGATCCCTATCACAGTCAGTCCACCATTCCAAATGTCTTTAATGAGTAGAGTGCAGGGTAATTGGGGTGGACAGAGATTTAAGCCCTGTGAAGCACCAGCAGGCACCTGGTTTCTCACCAGGTCTTCGGAATCCCTTCCTCATTTCTCATTTTAAATCAGGAGTCAGCATCAAGAGGCCACAGGCTCTCTCCGCCCCACTGACATCTTCATCCTGGGAGAGCCAGGATGCTGGGAGGACTAGACTGTCCCCTCCCGCTAGGTGCACACTTGTAACCTGTCCGCCTCTGACATGCCTGTGCCTGCGACTCCCGAGAGCCTCAGATCTTTTTACTCCATGGGAACAGTAAACGTGAAAGAGCCTTTGCTTTGGGGAAAATATCTGCAGTATCCACACAGTGGGGCAGTGTTCCCAGCCTCACTAGGCTGAGAGCCTCTTCGGGCCCCTCACCCCCTTCTCTCTTTGGTATTCCCCTGTACCTGGTATCAGACCCTGGCTGTTTGGTCCTCGGCACTGTGGCACCTGTGGAGCGCAGAGCGTCCTCTCAGGAGACTCCTCACCCTGTAAGCTCCTGGCCCCAGTCCTCAGGCATTCCCACCCATTTTCAGGAATGCTTCTGTCTCCCCATCTGTATCTTCACCCACCCTGACTCTATGGCTCCCCCAGGTCATGGAATTGCTTCCAGGAGTCAAAATAATCTTGCAAGATAAATGACAATATTGGTTGAAGCAGAGAGGTGGAAGTCAGGGTCTGGCACCTAAGTAACATGTGGAGTCCAAAAAAGCCCAAGCAGAACCACACCGTCCGCAATGAACTCGGTTTATTGTTAGACTCAGCAGCTCTGTCACAGCAGCTGGGAACAGCAGCAGGGAAGTGTAGGGAGAAGCAGAGCACTGCAGCACAGGGAGGGGGAGCTAGGAGGGACAAAAGGTGGGCTCGGTTTGGTGGCCCAGTTCCTCAGCAGAGAAGGCGAGCCTGGCCACTACTGACCCCTAGGCTTCTCAGTCCCGCAGCCGACTGTCAGGCTGCTCCCTGGCTGGCTGGGGGCAAGTCCTCTCCCGGGGCAGAGCCTTCAGCCTCTTTCATATCACACTGTACGCATTAAGCTTCAGCTCAGCTTCGTCCCCCTCTTCCTCCCTCTCATTTTCCCCAAGTCCTCTGAGCGAGCCTCTACCTCCCAGGAGAGGCAGCCATCATTCCCACTTCAGCTGCAGGATGGCACAGTGGAAGGTTGGGGGAGTCACACACGGCTGGGGTGTCAGATGTTGGGATGTTAGGCGGTGGCTTATTTTTAACCCATTACACACCAGGCCACAGTAGATGACCACATGCAGAGAAGCCAAGCGGGGAATGACAAGGGGTTGGGACCATGGGAATGGGGTAGGGTGAAAACTTCAAAGGGTCAGGGAGCTTGGAAGAATCCTGGGATTGGGGCTGGGACTCTCCTTGCCCTTTTGTGCTGCCCAGGAGCCCCGGTCTGGGCACAGCCCTAGGATGTGCAGTGTGAAGCAGGGTTGGGACATAGGTTCCTTTCTCCTCTCACCAGTTTGTTGGTCTAAAGAGCTTCAAGTTTTGGATTGAGACATTCAGATACTTAGGGAAGCAGAGGACAGCGTAGCAGCAGTGGCTAAGGAGATGGAAGGTGGAGGGAAGAGTGCAGCTCTGGGTACCTCACTGATAGTATCCCACCTCCAGGTCACAAATGACTATCGGGAATCCTTCCTGGGATATCAAATGGAGATAAGGAGGCCCCTGGGGTTGGGGATACAGTCTCCTTCCACAAGAGGAGGCTGCTCTCTGAGACCCATCCTCATGCCCCATCCAATACCAGCATCTGAGAGTGCTGCGCAGGGCATCACTTGGGGTCCTCAGGCATCAGATGACCTCCTAGCTTCAATTAGGACCGTCTCCTTGTGCTCTCCCTTATTACTTTTGGTTTTGAGACCCCTCTCAGGAATGGATGAGGAGGACAGTACCTCCCATTTAGCCCAGCCCAAGTCCCTGCAACAAGACATCTCCCAGTCCTAGCTCCATCTCCCTCAACCCCAGAGGACACAGCTGCAGCCATTCTCTAAAGGAGCTGGGGGACTGGATCCTCAGGGAGGGTGGTTCTTTCAGAACTCGATCTTGCAGGCTGGGAAGGATTCATCCTGCATGACCACAGTGCTGCTGCTAGCCAGGACCAAGACATTCAGCTGCTGCTGCTGCTCATGAGTCTGCTGGTACCACTGACGCGTCACCTCCGTGTCATGAGTAGGGATCAGAGTCACCTGGGAAGGAGATAAGGCATGTCAGAGGTGAGAGCGTGGTGGGAAGCGGAGGGAGAAGGGGCCCTGTTTAGGAACAGTCCCACTGTGCGTCTGAGCGAGCTCTGGCCAGAACACTCTGGTGCTACTCACCTGAAGATTCTCCCCCCACTGGGCCTTGCCCTCCAGCAGGGCATCCAGCACTGCTCGGCTTGGCTCGCCATTGGTAGGGTCATTCCCACTGACCACGTAGTAGGATGCACGCACACGACGGAAGAAGTCAAGGTCAGCAGTCTTACCACTGCAATGATTGGGGATATAGGCGAGATCCACATATACAGGGGGGCCAGAGCCACCCTTGGACCCCAAGGCCACTGTGGAGACAAGCCAGGAGACATTGTAGAGGAAAACCAGAACGCATTGGCACCTTCCCCCTCTCTCCCACTGCTGGAGCCTTTGGGCCAGTCCACACCCAGGCCCAACCCACATTGTCCTGTGCTCCATGATATACTCACTGGGTCCGGCCTTGAGTCCATTGATGAGGCCTTTAGACACTGGGCTGTGTCCATCCTTTTCCTCTGCTGGGGTGGCCTGGCTTGCGGTGCTGCGTGGTCGGGGTGGGGCCCGGGATGCTCGATCTACAGGCCCTTTACCAGGGGTCGGGGAGCGTTTTCCCCGAAGATCCAGGCGCCGCACAGGGGATGCTGGCTTGGCTCGGCCCAGGGCCCGGCGGCCCACTCGCCCCTGCACCTTCTCCTTCTCCCGTAGCCTCTCTGCCCTCCCAGACTCTGAGCTGAGTCCCTCAGGGTCAGCCATGCACACATCGGGGCGGGGAGGGGCTGGGGGAGGGTCCAGCTGAGGGCTGGGGGGTGGGTCGTGCCCAGGCTTGGGATGGTGAGTCCCACTGAGCCCCCCAGCCTTGTCCACGGGCAAGAAGTCCCCATCTTCGTCGGAGTCAAGGGCTGCCTCTGCTGTGATGGATGGACACTCCTCCGTCTCTGGCGGGACATCAGAATCTGACTGTGAGGAGCCTGAGTCACTGGCCGACGTAGGGGGTGTCTCATCAGCCACAGGGAATGGGCCCCCCGTAGACCCTGGGCCCCCAGTGCGGCGGCGGGCCCCTCTTCCTACCAGCCGAGCATCTTCAGTGGAAAGGTCACTGTCATCTGTGCATGGTGGCAGAGGTGGGTTCAGGAAGGGTGGAGAGAGCTCCCCACAGTGGGGCCAGGGCTCAGCGGCACATCCCTGAGGCCCAGGCCCAGCCTCAGGAGACACACTACTACAGGGTGGACGCCCCGAGCCCCCTTCGGGATGCAACAGCTGTTCAGGGGAGAGGAGCGTGTCAGGCTGGGCGCTTTTCTCAGCTCCCTCAGGCCAGGCCCCTTGCTCCCAAGCAGGGCAGGCTCCAGCCTCCTCCTCCTCGGTCTTGGCTGTGGCAGGGCCAGGGGGAGTGGGGCCGGTTTCAGTTGGGCCATTGGCTGCACGATCCCCAGAAAGGCCCTGGAAGGGGCTTGGCTTCTTGGTGGTGTCCCTTGAGCGTTCCAGGTGACAGGGTAGGGTGCCACCATCCATGTCTCCAGGAAGGCTTCGAGCTGGGGCTGAGTCCCGGGAAGCTAGGGGTACTGGGCTCAGAGGAGTGAGGTCCCAGAGGCTCGGGGCCGAGGGTTCCAGGCCTGGGTGCAGCTCTCCAGACGTGGGTTCTTCAGCCCCCAGGCCTGGGGGGAAGCGCTCAGCCACACTTGACATCCCTGGGGTGGTGGCCTCAGAGGAGGAGCCCTCGGACAGGGCCGGGGAGGCAGGTCGTGGCAGGCTGGAGAGGAGGGCATCCCCCGGGGAGCTGGGTGACGGGGGCTGGGGCAGGGAGGAGTCCAGGCTGGGGGCCTTGGTCACCTCCAAATACTCATTGTGCCGGGCTCTGGCTGGGGGTCCTGGAGGCAGAGTCAGAGCTTGGTCCCCAGAGAAGGCAAGGGAGCCACAGGGTGCTGAGCGGGGCTCGGCTGGGGAGGGAAGCTGAGGGGGAGCAGGAGGCAGTGAGGAGAAGCCAAAGGCCGAAGCCGGGAAGTCAAGGCTTGGTCGGGCAGGACCCAGGTGCAAGTCCAAGGAAGGGCTTGTGTGCGCCTGAGTTTCAGGCCACAGCCTAGGGGCGCCCCCAGGGACGGGGGAAGCGGGGCTTGGAGACTGAGCCTCTTTCTCCGGCTTCTCCTTAGCCCCCTTCTCCAGCTCCGAGCCGCTTGTGCTGTCAGCCCAGGGACGCCGGCCTGACTCTGTGGGGGCGGGAGTCCTCCGATCTGGACCACTAGGGGGGAGACTCGGGCCTTGGCTCAAGGGAATGGGAGCGCGGGGGGGCACGGCAGGTGGGGTGAGGCTGTCCTCCACACTCGGCCCTAGCTCAGGCTCCTGCCTGGGGGGCACCCTGGGTCCTGCCAGAGCTGCATAGCTAAAGGCTGGAGCGTCAGGATGGAGGCTCTCGGGTGAGACAGGAGAGGACCACTGCCTCTCCGCAGGCCCATTTCGGCCCTTGGCCTCCTCCTTGCCCGAGAGGCGTGGGGGCCAGTCCCCAGCCGCCCCCAGTGGAGGCTCCCTCGTGGGGCACGCAGGGCCAAGGCCGGTCAGCAGCATCTGCTCATAGATGTCTGCGTACTGGAAGCTCCTCTCCTCGGGGTAGGGTGTGGGCTCTCTCTGCTCCATCTCAGTCTGCTCTGTGTCCCGAGTGTCATGGCTCTCACTGGCCTCAGGGACCTTGGAGCTGCAGGGGCTGCTGTCAGAAGTCCCAGCCCCACCTCCTCCTTCCCCTTCCCCTTCAGCCTTGCGGTAGTCCTTCCCCAGGGGGGAGTATGGCCCACCTTCCAACTCAGCAGCGCCCTCCTGCACTGCGGCCACCACACTGTCATACTCTGCAGTGCCCCAGGAGAAGGGTGCAGGCATGGGGGGAGCTGGAGCTGGGGAGAGGGGTGCTGGGGGCAAGGGTCTGTCCTTAGGCACCCATGGTGGGATGTCAGCCAGCCAGGAGGGAGCAGCAGGTTCGTTCCTGGCGGGCGGCATGGGCTTCGTCTTGGGACTAGGGCTTTCTTGTCCAGGGGTAGGAGGACCCCTCTGTCCCGCCATCCCAGGTGGGGAAGCTGGAGGGGAGATGATCTCGAAGGGAGAGCGGGTCAGCTTGTCCTCGTCCTCTGGGGGCAGCCCGACGGGTGACTCAGAGAGCCACCGTTCCACTTCCAGTCCCTTCTGTGCTGAGGGCTCCTGCAAACCCTCGAAGTCGGAAGCCCACGGGCTCCGGGGTGTGTGCCGCCGTGGGGGTGCTTCGGACCCCTCCAGTCCCTCACAGAGGAAGGTGCTCTCCCGCTCCTCGGGGTATCCTTTGTGGGCCCCCTGGCCGTCCAGCTCTTGAGGGAACCAGACCTTTCTCTCACAGCTCAGCCCCGTCCAGTATGGGTCTTGTTCCAGAGCCCCATCCTCTCTGCCTCTCCAGGATCGGACCTCCTGCTCCAGGGACGTCTCCTCCCAGGTGGGGGTGGGCTCCTTCTGTTCTCCAGTGGGTTCCCCTCGGATTGGAGGCGTTTGCCACTCCTGACCCACATCCCTCTCCTTCCAGTCCGTCTCTTCCTGCTCTCGGTGCTTACCCTCCTTCACGGGGCTGTCTTCCAGCCCCAGAGCTCTGCTCTTCTCCGGCAGAGCCTCCTCCTTCTGTGCCACAGCCATGACCCTTTCTGGAGATTTTTTGCCTATGACGGTCTCCTGTAGTTTCATGATTGTATCCTCCTTCTCAAAGCTCTCTTGGCCCCAAGTTTTGTACTTTTCTTCTAGAGCTTTATCTTTCTGTTCAACAGCCTTATTATTTTGTTCTAGAGCTTCACCCTTCTTTCCTAAGGCCCAAGATTTTTGTTCTAAGGCCTGATCTTTCTTTTTGAAGACCTCATCCTTCTGTTCGTGGGCCTTGTCTTTATGTTCAGGGCTTTCATCTGCCTGTTCTAGAGCTTTGCCTTTTGGTTCGGGGGCCTTGTCCTCTGGGGCCTTGTCTTTATATTCGAAGTCTTGAACTTTTGGCTCTAAAGCCTTGCCTTTCTCCTCTGGGAGCTGGTCCTTCTGTTCCCAGACCTTGTCTTTCTGTTCTGAAGCTCCCTGCTTTTGTTCTTTGTCCTTTGGCTCCAGGGCTTGGTCCTTCTGTCCCAGAGCTGTGTCCTTGTCCTTTTCTTCTGGGGTCCTATCCTTTTGCTGTAGGACATTGTCCTTTTGTTCTAATTCTGTGTCTTTTCCCCCCAAGGTCTTGTCCTTCTGCTCCAGGGCAATGTCCTTTAGTTCTAGGGCTGTGGCCTTGACTTTCTCTTCTGAGATCACCTCCCTCAGTTCCAAGACTTTGTCTTTTTTTTCTTTGTCTTGTGATTCCAAGGCCTTCTCCTTCTGCTCTAGGGCTGTATCCTTTTGGTTTAAGTTTCTTCGTTTTTGTTCTAAAGCCACATCCTCCAACCCCACAACCTTATTCTTTTCCTCCAGACCCTCATCTTTACAATGCATGGCTGCATCCCTCTCCTCTACAATGCACTTCTGCTGCAGAGTTTTGTCTTTCTGCTGTAGGACTTCTTCCTTTGGCTCAGGTTCCTTGTCCTCTTGCTCAGGGGTTCTGTCTTTCAACCCTGGAACTCTACCTTCCCAGTCCTTGGCAATGTCTTCCATGGCAGTGCTTGGCAAAGACTCCAGACTCTCAGTGAGGGAGCTGCTGGGTGCCAGAATGTGCTCACCAGGGCTTGTGACCAGCCCAGGTGAACGCTTCCCATCTCCAGGCGGGGTCAAGTGAGAGGAGCTGGCAGGTAGCTTCCTATCAGGGCTCTCATCTGTGATATCTGCCTGTACAGAGTATCCAGTGGCCCTGTCTACAGGAGGTGACACCATGGCTGCACAGGGCATTGGAATGGACACAGGAGTTAGGTGGCAAGAGACATCCTCCACCTGCATCAGAGCCCCTTTTTCTTCCCTTCCAAGGCTTAGTTCCCCAAACTGGAGGGTACCAAGGCTTTCTGGAGAGAGCTGCTTTGAAGAGATATCCAGAGAGGTCTCCTTGCTGGGACTGTCTTCTGAGACAGAAAGAGACTGGGTATCTTCTGGAGATACCTCTGGCCACAGGTCTGTATGTATGTGCTGCTCTGTCAGGCCACAGGGTGACTGGGGAGTTGCCTCTTGTTTGGCAGTGTCTGGGGAAACCACACTGAGGACAGAGAGGGACTCTGCATCTTTGGGGGGGAGGCTTTGGTCAGGAATGTGGAGCACCTCATCTTTCTGAGATTCGCCAGGTTCTTGGAGTGATGTCCTCAATTCCCTGGAGAGGGCTTCTGCTCCCAGAATTGGGCCTGGGAACTCAATTCCTACTTCCATAGTCTCTCCTGCCCCTGTTGTCTGAAAGACTATGGCTTTGTCTTGTTCTGGCAACAGCTGAATGGTGCAGCCTGTGTGTCCTCCAGCAACGCCGACAGGTGCTCCCTGAGCCTGGGGTCTCCTGGGAGGAGCCTCCTTCCGGTCCTTCTCTAGCGAGCCCTCTTCAGGCCCTGACTTGACTGTCTCCTTGGCAGCATATTCCTCTCTCACACCTGGTGTACGCTTAGCATCTTGCCAAGATTCTTCTTGAAAATCTTGGGGCTCAGAATTTTCTTCCACTGGGGACTGGTGAAAGGGTGTGTGGGTGGCACTGGGGGGGCCGGACGGTGGAGGGGAGGCCATCTTCACTGTGCTGTCATCCGGGCTGAGGCAGCGTTCCTCTGCCTCTCCAAGGCCGGCTTCCCCTGGGTGTGTGGCCTGCCCAGGGGCGCCAAACACTGCTGCTCCACACTGACCGTGGAGCTCCTCAGATGCCTTCGCCTTTGCCCTCTCCTCCTTCTCCCCTTCCACGGCTCTCTCCTGAGTGGAGCCTCTCCCCACGACCTCTCCTCTCCTCTCCGGCTCTCCGGTCACAGAGAAGTCCTCACACGGAGGTGATCTGAAGCCCTTGTCTTCTTCCAGTGAGGAGGTGGGCGAGATGGTTCCCGCTGACGGCACGTAGTCCAAGCCCTGAGTGGCCTCGGTTCGGGAGGAGGGGATACTTGTGACCGTGTCGAGCAGCAGGGAGCTCTTGCCTGTCCCCTCTGTCTGGGGAGCTGTGAGTGATGCCACAGACTGGTCCTCGGCCACTGACGTGGCGAAGGAAGAGAGCTTGTCACATTCCGTTATTGACGTGGCGGAGGACACATGTTCCTCTTCAGCCAGAGGGGCGGCCACTATGTGGGGGGGGTAGGTGAGTTCTGTCTCCGGTGCCCCAAAGCCTTTGCTCGAGGGGGCGGGAACGGCACCGTCTGCAGGCTGGCCGGCATCAAAGGGGCCAGGACCTTCAGGCCCAGGAAGGTCACGCGTACTGGCTGGGAGCCTGGGTGCAGCAGGGCGTTCCTCTGGCTCATCGTGGATCTCCTCATCTGAGATGGTCTGCTCGGTCTCTGAGCAGCCAGGGATCGTCTCATCCTGTATGTAGGAGACATGCTCAGTGGCCCCGGCAGGAGTGGCCAGGCTGCTCAGAAACAATGAGGTCTCCTTCTCCGGGGCCTTGCTATGGAGTTCCGGTTCCCGGCCCCCGAGAGCTTCCCTGCCCTTTGGGGTGACCTTCAAGGCTTCCTGCCTGTGTTTTTGATAAAGACCCTCAGCCTTCGTCTCCTCCTCCTCCTCCTCCTCCTCGTCTCCAGGGTGCACCTCCTCCACTGCTTCGAACTCAGCCTTCTCCACCACATCCTCCTTTACCTCGGGTTCATTTTCCTCCCTGGCTTCTGCTCTGTCCGGGAGCCTCTCTGCTTCCTTCTGCTTTTTCTCCTCCCAGGTCTCTTCTTCCTCCTCCATTTCAGCCCTGCTGTCCGGGCCTCTCTCCTTGCTGCCTTGTTCCTCAGCTATGTCAGGGACAACCTCTTTCCCCTTTATCACCTGCTCTTCCTGTCTCAGCCCTGGGACAGAGGGTTGCGCTCCCGGCCTAGCTATGCTTGGGGGTCCCTCCTCTGAAGTACTGAGAGGGAGTGGTTTTCCTCCTAGTCCTGGGTCCCTTCGTTCCCTCTCCTCACGCTTCATCTCCTCAAAATCCTGTGTGAGGTCTTCTGGCGAAGAGAGGGCCGGCTCCCTGTGTCCACTGACAGGGGCAGGTGGCACAGCGCCCTTCTGGACTGGGGGTGTCCGAGGCTCAGAAGACATCTCCTTCTCGCCCCGGGCAGCACGGTTCTTGTCGACCTTGATCCTTCCAGGGGCCTTTGCTTTGTAGAGGGTCTTACGTACCTCAGGGGTAAAGGGCTTCAGGTCTGGTTTGGAAATTTTCTTGACCTCAGGTTTGGTGTCTTTCCTCTTCTCCTCCTTCTTGGCATCCTTCTTCTCCTCCTTCCTTCCTTCATCCTTTTTGAGCTCCTTCCTCTCCTTCTTGATCTCTTTTTTCTCCTTGTCTTTTTTCTCTTCTAGCTTTGATATCTTTTCTTTCAGATGCTTCTTCCCTACCTTGTCTTTGATCAGCTTTCGTTTCTCTGCCTTCAGTGCCTCGCTTGATTCTGTCCTCACCCTCTCAGGCTTGGCGGGCTTCTCTGGGGGCTTCTCAGGTGGCTCTTTTGCTTTTTTCTCTGCCTTGGCTAACTCCTTGGCCAGCTCTGAGCGGGCCTCCTTGGCTCCCTCTTCTGCCACTTCCTCTCGCTTGGCCAGCTTGTTCACTGCCGTCTTGGTAGCAGCTTTGAGGCTCTCCTTGCTGTCAGTCCGCTGTTTGATTTTGCTGGGTTTCAAGTTGGCAGGCACTGCCCCTGCAGCCAGGTCTTTCTGTGTGGCCACAGGGTATCGCAGGAAGTCCAAGTGCCGGAGCTTTTCCAGGCCCTCCAAGATCTTATTCTGGGGAGCATTTCCTGGAAAAAGCACACGCACAATCTTCTCAGTGGGGTTGGCTGGCAGCCAGACCACCAGGGCAGTGATAGAGGTCAGGTAGGGCACCGAGATCTCAGCCTCCCTCCCGTTGGCCAGCACAATGCCAGTTTTGGCTTTACTATTGCCTGCCCACTTCTGCATAAGGAACTGCATCTCCTTGCTGTCCTTGACAGGGTTGAGGACATACATGTCCAGCCGGCCCACACCCATTTTGTGGAAAAGGGTCAGTGGCTCAATGGTGTTGCTGACCACGCGGTAGAGAGGCTCAGGCTGGATGCCCAGGCGGTTTAGGTGCTGCAGAGTGAGGCAGGCCTCCTCGATGCTGCGCTTGGCTTTCCGGGAGGCATCAGGCAGCCGCAGCTTATCAGGCACATTGAAGAAGACCACTCCGAGTTCAGGGGAGATGAGGTTCTTCACCCAATCGCTGTAGCTGCTGGAGCCCTGGGACTGCTCCTCCTCCAGCTCTGCCACTTTGCGCTGCAGGAGTCCATTGATGCCTGGCAGATTGTCTGCCCCAATGTGTGTGAGCAGCACTGAGTCAATGCGGTCCAGATGCCGCACCAGCTTCCAGAAGCAGGACTTTCGATCAGAACCCCCATCCACCAGGATGTTGAACCCATTGACAGCAAAGAGGGCAGAGTCCCCACGGCCACCTGGGAAGATGTAGCAGCAAGGCTTGGAGAGCTTGAGGAAGCCCCCTGAGGTGGGGGGTTCGAGCAGGTCAAAAGGAGATGGCACATCCACAGTCTCAGAGACGTACTCGGAGAACTCAGCCACGCCATCCATGGTGGGTAGCACGGGCTCAGGGTTCAGCTGGAGATGCAGGGTCTCTTGGGAACTGGACGAGCCCAAGCAGCTCCAATCACCCTCCCCTACACAGGACACAGTGAGCAGAGCCTGGATCCCAGGGTCTCTGTTGCTGAACAACTGGGCAATCTAGAGGAATGGAAGATAGAAGCTGATCAGGTCACTGGGCTATGTGGGCCTGACTCAGACTCAGCCCCTGGTGTCCCCTCTCTCCATAGTGACCTTCTCCCTACCCATCAGGCCCCAGACCGAGTGGCAGGAGGCTTTTCCTCCCATGGGTCCTCCCAGAGCTCTTGTCCTGCCCCAGCCCCTCCCTCCCAGACCCTCAGGTGTTGGTGGAGTTCACCTCTGGCTTGTGAAGGACCTGGGCGAAGTCTCGGTAGGAATAGGTGCCGGTCTGCAGGATGAGGTCTCCCCCAGGCTCTAGACTTTGCCCACTTAAGATGAGTAGTTTGTGAGCCGACGGGCTGCTAAGGAGATGGTGAACCTGGAGAGGGAGGAAGGAAGTGGTCACAGATGTGGGGAACCCAGGGAGAGGCACTGACATTCCTTACTGTGAGGACATGCTCCCAGCTGGTCCCCGTAGCATAGCGCCCCCAGAGCCAGTCTGGATGGCAAAGGCTTTTTGTTTTGATTTTTTTGGTACCGGGGATCGACTTGCAAGGCAGGAGGTGGAACCGTTGATCTAAATTCCCGGTCCAGCAAAGTCTTTTTGGTGGCAGCACTGACAAGGGCTGAGCACAACACATGCAGCCAGGCACGGGCCCTGGCCTTACCTCAGAGCTGATGCTTTCTGCACTGGGGTTTACCAGGATGATGGTCTCTAGGGTGTCACTCTGGTGGCAGAGGGTCCTCTGGCCTGAGAGAGAGATGTAGGAACTTGTACTGAAGAGAGAAGGGATTGGCTACAATGGAGCAGCAGGTATAGGGCAGGAAGGGAAAGAGGGCATGATCAGAAAATGGGATTTAGGGAGGACAGAGGCCTGGTTCTCTTCAGACCCTGCCACCTCAGACACTGCCAAGTAAGGTCTGAGACCTGGGTCCTCCAGCCTTTTCCTTTCCGGTTTCCCTCTCCTCTTTCCCACGCGAGCTGTCTTCTCCCTCCCTGCATCCACCACACCCTCTGCTGCCCATGCCCCGCCCCCCCCTTCCAGGAACTCTGCCTCAGACGCCCTGTGGACAAGAAGCTTTTGTCTCTCTGGAACACTGAGCTCCTGGTGCTGCCTGGGGTTGGAGGGCTTGGCCGGAGAGGCTCTAGGACTTGAGCCTTGCTGAGCCTTCTCCTCACTAGTTTGCCTTTGCCCTGGACTTTTGGCCAGCAGAGTGCCTAGGAATAATGAGACGGGAACTTCGGGGAAGTGTCCACAGACTCGCCATATGCCTTTCCAAACCCCCACTAAAGGCCAGAATGCCTGCTCCAAAAGACTCTGAGAAGCCTATGTTATCTCAGCCCCTCAGGGTTCTCCAACTCAGGGTGGACACAGGGCTCTCACTCGTGGCTCTGCTCTCCGGCTCCTCAGTGGCCAAGCCAGCACTCACTCACATGCACACTCCTCCTGCCCGAAATGCTCACAGCCCTCCCCCCCCCCTTCACCTTTGTGCCTGAGGCTTTAGAGACCTGGTTCACCATCCCATAACCCGTGTCTATAAACAGTTTCTCTTCTTATCATTTCTTCCCTCTTGTGGGCCTTCTGCCCTGGAGGTGGGGAGTGAGGGCTTCAAAAACAAGAAACATTCAGGAAGGAAGGAGAAGGAAACACTCAGGGTGCTCCCAGGGTGGAGAAAAGGAAGACGTCCCCTGTTTCCCTATGGACTGCTCTTCTCCAGACTCAGCCAAGAAACTGGCAGAGCAGAGATGCTGAGGAAGGGTGCTGCTGTCCCAGCTTCCCCAACCCTTCCCCAGCGGCAGCCACTTCAGAGCTAACCTTCCAAGCAGAGGGCCCAACAGATGGATCACCCGGAGGAGAGCAGTGGGTGAGTTCTCAATCTGCTCCCCGGCCCACTCCTGTGGCCCAGCTCTTCTTTCTGGGGCTCAGACAAGAGGGACTGGGGTCCAGGGGCTTTATTCAGAGGAAGAGCCGCAGGGCCAGGATGGAGCAAATCTGGCAGTGCAGGGCTGCATGCGGGGCTGCAGATGCAGCTATGGGGGAAGTGGAGTGTGGATGGTGTCAGAAACAAATCCCACACAGGGTGTGCTGGCCCCAAGAGGAGCCCAGAGGTTCTCTTCTACAGACTTGGGAATTGAAGGAAACTTCGAGGTCAACTAGAGGGTGACAGCCACCTCAGAGCCAAGCAGGGCTAGGGTTTGGGCAAGTCAAGTGAGCTGCCAGGCCACTAGTTCTGTTTTAAAAGGGTAAGGGCTCCCCACACACAAACAAGGTGACAATTTTGAGCTAGGTGGGGCAGAAAGAAATACCTATGGTACAAACTGATTTGCTTTCTACCCACCCCCCAAGCTTCCCACTCAAGACTTCTCAGATCCCAGTTTCTGTCCTGACCTAAGACCCCACCTGTGTTCCTAACTCCACCCCTGGGGAGCAATTCTGACTTGCAATACATGGTTTCTATCTTACACCCCTCTTTCTCAGGCCTGGGGAGAGCCCCGTTTCTCTCTCCTGAGCCCGGACTTGTCTTCCCTGTTTCTTCGGAGAGGGCTGTCTCTCGGGGCCGGGGCACTCTCCTCGACGGGAATGGGGCGAGGGCCGGTGGCAGGGGGACCGGGGAGCCGGGGCCCAGCAGGCAGGAGGGCAGGTGTCGCCGCAGTGAGGCGGAAGGGAGGGGCGCCCGGGCGGGCGGGCGGGCAGCTGCAGTGTGCCGCAGTGGAGTGTGGGGGTGCGGGAGTGCGGGAGTGCGGGAGTGCGCGCTGCGCTCAGCTCCGCCCCCACCCCACCCCCACCCCACCCCCAACAGAGGACTCTAGCTGCACCCAACCCACAGCTTTTGAGAGAACAGCGAGGAAGGAGAGAGGGGCTCTTCGGACCCGGAGCCCCAGCTTGGGAAGAGCAGCGGCGATGAGGTGGCGGTGGGGCAGCTGGCCTGGGAATGCGGGGCAGCTGCGGGCGGCGAGTGCTGTCTCCACAGCGGCCTCAGTGGGGCTGGAGGCGGCCTTGGAGCCCCAGTCTCCAGCCAGCCGCGGGGACCGGAGAGGCAGCGGCACGTGCCAGGCCCGGATGGCCTCTCCCTCCCTCCCTCCCTCCCTCCACGGTGTTCCCCACCTTCCCGAACTTGGCAAAAACTCGCTGCCGGGTCACCCCACACCGGAGCGCTGAGCAGTCCGGAGCTGGCACTCAGGGACCCTCCCGTGAACCACCCCTTCCTCGCCACAGAAACAGAGCCCCCAAACCCCGCCCGCAACCCCTCCACTAGCACCGGGCAGGGCTGGCGTCGGCAGGGTGCTGGCCCGCCACGGCCCGCCCACGACCAGCTGGAGGGCTGGAGGGCGGCCTGTCACCCGCCGGCTGCCCCTGGGCCGGGCTCCCTGGCCGGGCACACGCGTGTTTTCTCTCCATCCCCCAGCTGCCCACCCTGTGGGGTCAGCTCCAGGCGCCCCGGATCACCAGGTACTGGCTCCCCCCGGTCCCCGTCCCACCTCCGGCCACAGCACCCTCACCCTGCCAGCCGGCCCCTCCTCAGTCCTCACCCTGGGCTGCGCGAGGGAGCCTCTCAGGGAGGCGGCCGCCGGCCTCCCGGCAGCTCCGGGAGAGTCTGCGGCACTTGAGGTGGGGTGGGGGGGCTCGGTGGGAGGGCGGTGCCAGGGCGGGGTGAGGGGCTGGTCCGTGACGTGACGGAGCACTGGAGACTTAACCGTTTCTCTGCCTTCACAATGTCAGCGCTTAGGGCACCCGCTGGGCGCGGGGGGCTCAGGGGCGTCTGGCAGGTCAAAGAGCTAGGTTGACCTCCTGTGGCCCACAGTGCCCGTCTCCCAGCCCTGCTTAGTTAAGAAACATTCTTTAACATCAGTGCAAAGCCCAAAACCCTGCACTAGGGCTCAGAGTCGGGACGGAAGAGCTCTGTTTGGGCCCTCCCTCTTCTCTTGGAAACCATCTGCTGCCTCCTGCTCAGAGGGACCCAGGGAGTGACCTTCAGTCCCGGCAGGGGCAGCAGACAAAAGGGGAGGGGGCAAAGGGAGGATTGGGGTGGGGGCTGGGTGATTGCAAACTGAGCCTTCTTCTGAACCAGGGCCCTAGGAACAAAGCCAGGCAGAAGTTGGGGTGAGTGCCATTTGGAATTGTGAATAGACACAGTCTGACCACAAGGTAGCACATAGGGGCCCGGGAGCCCCATGCAGGCCTCTCCCAATGCAGCACAGCAACCAAAATTCTTAGGCTGGGTGCGAGAAAGTAGTGTCTAAAGGGTAGGGAACTTCCTGCCTTTCAATGAAGGAGTTAACAAGGACTTAGAGGAATCACCAGGACTCCAGACTGAAGAAAGGTTTTCTTACTGGGAGTGAATTATTAGATGTAGCTTAAAGTACCCTTTAGATTAAATAGTAATCTTGGAGTAATTGTAGGGGTTCTCTCCTTGCCTGGAGGTAACTTTCTAAGTGTCTGCTGTCTCTGTCTCACCATGTGGACTTGGTATCTACCTCTGTCACAGACAGTGAAGCATCGCAGGACCTGGACAGCTCCAGCACTCCTCCCAGGGGAGCTCACTCCCAGTGGGCGTGCCCCTGCTGCCTCTTCCCACTGACCTCCCCACCCTGGCCAGCTCCTAGGACCTGGCGCAGTGACTTCTACCCACTCACACCCGGCACCGGCCCCACCCTTGCTCCGGCTGCCAAGAGCTCCCTTTGAAGGTCAGAGAAGCCAAAATGGTCTCTGTTCTAGCATCTCCCATCCTCCCTTGACTGCAGCCGAGGACAGGAGGAGCTGAGTCACCAGCACAGGGTGGGGGGGGGGATCTTTGCTCAGATCCGGGGATGCAAAACAGTAACATGGCAACAGCCGCATTTGGTTAGGAGAGGCCATCTGCAGAGACACAGTGCAAAGCAGGCCGATTTTCTGAGCATCGCAAAAGGGAAACACCTCCCTTCTGCAACCTCATATTTCCTATTTCCTCCCATCTCAAGCCCTCCATCTCCTCTCTGCTTTCTAGGGCTTTCTGGAGTCTTAGGAGGGAAAGACGAATAGACATTTGGTTTGAGAACAAAAGGCTTCAGCTCAGTGCAGAGCCCACCTCTATTCTCAGCTGCTACCCTCAAGGGCCACATCTCGGCCTGGTTCCCACTCACAGTGGTACTCTCCTTCAGCCTTCACCCTGTCAATCCACTCACAATGACCAGTCAACCTGCTGTGTGCCTAGGTTCTGCTGAGATGGAAGGGTGAGACCCCAAAGGCGAGAGAGAGGCTTGAGCTCAGCACAAAGTGAAGTCAAAAGCCCTGGACTGCCAGGTGGGTGGCACACACCTGTAATCCCAGAACTTGGGAGGCTGAGGCAGGAGAATCAACATGAGTTTGAGGCCAGCCTGGGCTACATAGTGAGACCCTGTCTCAAAAAAAAAAAGCCTGGAGTTGAGACCTGACCACATCATTTTACCAGTCATGCAGCTAAACCAGCCACTCCCCCTCTCAGAGCTTCCTGAACTGTAAGATGAGTATGATGTTATGTTGGGAGCAATGCTACATAATTCTAGGGAAAAATCATCTGAGTAGGCCTAGTTCTCCTGCCTACAGGGCAGCTACGACATTCCAGACATAATTGCATTTTGGCCTCTGGTCACAACTGAGACCTCAGTGATCCCTGGATGCTGTCATCTCCAGGACAAGACCACACCTGAGGGAGACGCCAGGGAGGAACCAAATCTTCATCTGCATAGTTCCTCATTGTTCTTAGATTTCCACTGCCCCCTAGTCTTTTTACACCTTGTTTATCCCAAAGTAAAGTACTGAACTTTGCATTTTCACTTGTTACACCTGTTTCCCCGAGTACTGAATAAAAGGTGCTGCAAGCTCGGGGGCTTTTGTCTTTGCTGCCCAGAGAGCACTGATCAGACCCAAAGCTCAGCTTCTTCTCAGTCTCATTTGTCTACCTTTCCTGTCATTCGCCGTGGGCTGCCGTGGCTCGCAGGAGACCAGGACTCACTGCAGAGGTTCTGGTACCGTCCCCTTCCCCTGTCCCCTACAATGTTAGTATCATCCTTCAGTAATGTGGTGAGGATTGAGTGGCATAAAAGATGAAAAAGTGCTCCCTCATTCTTAGGATCCTGAACTTGAAAGGTACGGAAGACGGAAAGTGTCCCTTTTGTGGAAGACTTCAGAGTTCAGTTGGTGATCTGGGGAATTCTAAATCCAATTCTGAGCCCCCGAGCTCTCAGCTAGATCTGAAATGGAGACTCGAAGTTCTATTCATGCGCCTGCTTTTCTATTTCGGGCAGCCGTGCGAAACCTCAGACTCAGGAGCCAGGGAGCTGTTTAATTCGGGATGGCTCCGTGGTGGTGGAAGTAACAGAACAGTCCTTTCCTCACCACAACACTCTTAACAGTCTGAAGGCTTCAAATGGTGCCTCAGCCTGTGTTTTTGGAGTCTTAAAATAGCAATCTTCCCTTTTCTATAGGTGCTTGATAGTAGAAGTATGAGTTTTATTGAAACTCAGTTTTCCTTTTTTCTTTTCGCCATCCTGGGGATTGAACCCAGATCTTCATGCCTGCTAAAGCGGGCGCCAAACCACTGAGCCACTGCCAGGCCCCAGACTCAGCTTTCTGTTGTCCCCAATTCTTTCTCAGTCTGTATCAGAATTCTAGCTAGGAAATGCCAGACTTTTCCCTAGGATTGGCCAAGGAAGTCCCTACATCACTGGTGGGGTTAACCTAGTGCGAAAGCCACCGTGGAAAGCTTTACCAGACTCGACCACTAGGAGGAGCTGGGCCAGCGACCGCGGTGGGATCAGAGGGTCCCTTCTTTCCCAAGGATGGGTGGGTGAAAGTGGAGGGCGGTGCTAGGGCCAACTGCACACTTCCTGTCCTTGTCGGATACATTTTTGTTCCCTTTCTCCTCATTTTGGCCCAGGGCTTGAGGACAGGGATGGTGGTCCAGCTTTCAGGGCAGGAGAAAGGGTCAGGTCGTGGAGAACTAGCCACCTCCTTGAACCAGTCCCAGCCTCCAGGCTCCCCGGGCCTCCCCCCTGGAGGGAGCCTGGAGGGAGGGGCAGCGTCTGCAGCTGCTCTGGGCTGACTGTTGTTTGTGGGGACAGCTGAACGAGGAGCCAGCAGGGGTGGGGCTGTGGCAGTCTTCAGCTGTGTGGTTTTTTCCAGGAAATTCTCCACTACTCTCCAAGGGACAAAGATGGGCCACCGCGAAAATGTCCACACCTAAAAAAAATTCAGTATACTGAAGTAAGTCCTGATCTTAGGTGTATGGTCCTAAGACCTTTAAAGACATCATAGCAAAATACTTTGATTGAAAAGGTCTAGCAGGACCGGGGATGTAGCTCAGTGGTTTCGCCGCCTGCTGTGCAAGCGCAAGGACCCGAGTTCGCTCCCCGGTACCAAAAAAAGAAAGAAAAGGTCTAGCAGCTGCTTTTATAGCCGTGCCTGTTTCTGAGGAGAGCTTGAGAGTAATTATGCATCTCCCAGCCAGCCTCTTCCCAGCACCCCTTCATCTTAATCTAAAGAATGGCCCTGTACTTTGTTTTAAATTCTCTTCACTTCTTACATCAGTCCAGAAAAGACCCTACTCTCAAATCTCTGCGGCCAATTGGACGAAGTTAGAGAATTCACCATAAATTATCAATATCAGCAAATAGTCTTCGAATTTCAATTGAGTCATTAATTTAATCCTGTGTCATCCCCTTCCCCAATCTTGCACTAAAGTGTTAAGAATACTAAGTGGTAAAACTGTCGATTTTCAGGCATCAGGGATAATGAAAGAAACCATGACATTAGTAATTCTAAGAAGAAAGCAGTCTCAAAAGAGTGGCTAACTGCAGAAAGCCAGTTGTGCTGTAAAGATGCCACCCTCACATTTTAAAAATTGCTGTCTGTATTCCCAGTGCAATGAAACTTAGTCATATTAGCCTTGTTCTTTCCAACTTTCCAGAAGCTCTTTAGAGCAGTCAGTGATCAAGAAATTACCAATAATCTGGCAGGAGGAATAGGAAGTATCTACCACACTTGATAATTGAGAATTATTCGTATGAATTCAGTTATTTGGTGGCAGTGGCTCTTGCGCCACCTGGATTTTATATTCAATAAAGCTGCATGGATTGGCACATCAACATTTACCCATAACATGACCAGATGCCTGGCACTTTTATCATGGGATATAGGACATTCTGCAGCTCCCCACAGACATGTCATGGAATGACAGATCCTAAAATCTTTTCTCAAATTTCTGACCAGTTTCTCCCACCCAGCAGAATGGGAAACTGCATTCCATGAGCTTCCATCTCAGAGCCAAACCTCAGTGCAACTGGTTCTTGCAGCATTGAATCCAGGAAACTCTGTCCTTTCTGGGGATGGAACCCAGGACCTCTAACATGCTAGGCAAGCACTTTGTCATTAAGCTATACTCCGGGCCCCCACCTTTTTTTTGAGATAGGGTCTTGCTAAGTTGCCAAGGGTGGTCCCAAACTTGTGATCCTTCTGCCTTGGCCTCCCAGAGTAGCTGGGACTGCAGGCATGTGCCACTGCACCCAGCTTGGTACCAGGATTCTGCTTTGCTCTAGAGATCTGTCGGCTAAGCCAAAGGAGGAAACAGGAACCCTGAATCTTGCAGGTGGGCTATGCTAAGCAAAGGACTAGGAAGGTGCATGGGATGGTCTGGAGTCTCTAGAAATGGAAGCAGGGAGGCTGGGGTATGCGGAAAGAGGAACACAAACAAAGAGTACAGCAGGGAGGTGACTGACCAGTCAAAAGCAGGACCTCATTTCCTTAGTGCATGCCAACAGCTGTCCAAAACCAGCCCTCTTCCTGGGGAAATTGTGTTCTCCAGGTGTCCTCCACCATCACACCATGTGTGTGCAAAGTGTGCTGAGTATGGAGGCATGACTGTGCAGCACAGCTCGGAGACCTTCCCATCAGGGAGTTGTCCCTCCCTTTACCCCACTCAAACCTCCCACAAGGCCAGTTCTGCCACAGACCTGAGCTCTTTTAGGACCAGCCCTCACCCAGAGGACTGAGATAAATGCCGCTAGTCCTAACCTTTGACCTCTGAGAAGTGAGCTAGGTGCCGAGTGATGAAGAGTCTCAGCTGCTGGTTCAAGTCAAAAGATGATAAGTCAATGTTCCAGGAGAGAATCCCTGTGAGAGAAAAAGAAACAAAGAGGACTCTAGATAAAGTCGGGAGGCCAGGATTGTAGGGAGCACTTTCAAGCTCACAGAAGGGGGAAGGAGGAGGAGATAAGAACAGCTGCCATGACCAGCATCATTGATGTCTTTAAGAAAGGTGTCTAAGACTTCATCTACCTCCTACCCTGCGCCTTTTCTTCTCCTGCCTGAGCTGGAAAGGACAGAGTTGAGAGTAAACTTGTCATTAATGAGTTTGTCAGTGGCAATTTTCTTGCAAGATCTCCCAGTTGGGGTCCAAGTGACACCCCAGGGCCTATTTCCAGATACTGGGGGCTGCCTTCAGCTGGTTCCTACGGTTAAGATTCCAGATTCTCCTCTCTGTCCCGATCCTGGCCTCTACCCCTCCACGGCTTGCTTCCACCCGCAGGCGGCTCCGCAGCACTGCGGCACAGGCACAGGGTCAGGAGATGAGGACTGAAGGGCTGGAGCCACGAAGGTCACTCTCCTCAGCTGGCTGCCAGCATTCAGAGATTTGAGATTTGTTCTGTGCATTCAAAAAGCACCCTGTGCCGGTATCAGGGACTCCGAAGAAGAAACCCTAAGGTAGGGACAGGGACTCTCCACGGGATGGTGAGGACTTTCAGGACATCTGGAGAAGGGCAGTGCGGAGACCCTGCGGGAGAGGGGAGTACCAGAGCGGCCCCACGTGCTGCACGGCGCTCCCTTGCCCCAGGAGCCTGCGGAACGCCACGGGGTGCGGGAAGAATGGGGAGGCAGGTTGAAGGCGGACACGTGGCAGGGAAGACACAAGTGGCACCCGATGGAGGATGCAGACGTGCACGCCGGGAGGTGCATGCAGATGGCGGAGAGGCTGGAGACGTAGGTGCTGCGGTGCAGCCAGTCGGCGGCTCACCTTGCTCTAGGTGGGCCTGCACAGCCCTCAGCTGGCTCTCGGTCCCGATGTCGCCGATCGCGATGAGCAAAGAATGCTTCCTCGGGTCCCAGCGGGCCGCTGCCACTTCGGCTAGAGTCTCGCACCGCGGCTCCGCGGGGTTCTGAGCCGTCGGAGAGCCCGGGCTTCCGAGCCCCATCCCCGGCGCCGTCTCCATGGCAACGCCGCGAGGCCGCGAGGGCCCGGCTTCGGTCTCCATAGAAACCGCGGCCGAGAGCTAGGCTGGCGGCATCCGCAGCGGGTAGAGCGCGCGGGGCTCTTAAAGGCCGGGGTGGGGGGCTCTCATTGGCCGCTGCCCGTCAGGGGGTGGGGCCGGGGCCCCAAGGGGCGGGGCCGCATAGGCCGCAGCTTCCGGGGGTGCCCGTTGGAGCCACAGCCGCGGCTCCTCTCAGGCCGCGTCCTCCAGCGGCGCGGTCGCGGGCGGGGACCAATCTTGTCCCTGTCGATCTCCTCCGCGCCTGTGCGCCCGTCCGGCGCTACTCTTTTCCTCTGTCATGAGGCCACCGAGGTCCCGTGCCAGCCTCGGTGTCCCTGCCCTTGTCCCAGGCTCTCCTGTGCTCTGGGAGGCTGCGCAGTCCCAGTCCCGGAGGGGACGGAATGACCTTCTGGCCCTCCGAGTCCCTGGAGTTGTCACCCGAAGACAGCGCTGGCTCCTCTCCATCCCTGCGAGCACAGCGAGCGCAGACTGCAGCCAGGGGACTTGAGGAAAAAGCCGGGCTGGCGAGGTGACTGGCGAGATGAGGCGCCTAGGAGGCCGTCACTGCTGAGCCTGGGAATCCTCGCAACAGAGGGCCAGTGTCGGAGCCAGGAAGAGGGGGCAGTTCCACAGCAGAAGCCAGAGCACGGGAGAGAGCCGAGGAGGCCAGCGGCCAGCGCCGAATGTGCTCTGAGTGCCGTCCGGCAGCACGGGTTTCCCCCCCGCCCTGTCCCAGCCTCTTCTCCCTAAGACGCCGAGTCATTCTGCGTGTGCCTGTCCTCAGGCCTAGGCTCCAGCAGGCCCGGCTCCGGCAGGCCCCATCTGTTGGCCTTGCATTTTGGGGTGACACAGGGTAGGAGGGAGCGAGGTACGTGATTCAGCTAGGCTCCCCACGTTCTGACTGGACAGTGTGTGCAGGTGAAGTGGCTCAAGGCAATCCTGGGCTGGATGGTGGAACACAAGTTGTAGCCCAGCATCCGGGTCTATTTGCTCACCACTTTGGACGTGGCCCTGAAAAATCTCTCTTTTTTCCCTCCTGAAAATCCTTTTTGTAACAGAGGGAGTTAGGAAGAGTACTAGTAGAACACCACCCCGTGGGACAGTGTTCTGACTTCTCCAACACCGGCCAAAGGCAGATGCGGGTCTAGAAAAGAGCGCGGAGAGATGTCTGGGCTTCTGGTGCACTCAGGAATAAGTGCCACAGGGAGGCAGAGAGCCAGAGTGTGCTGTGGGGAGAGGAAGGGGCCCGTTTCCATGGCAACACTAGAAATGAGGCTTTGGACTAGCACCGGTCTCAGCCTAGGGGTCAAACTCAGTCAACCACAGGACCTGGTTTCCTCAACTCTAACAAAGAGGTTAGACAATAGATCTGAGGGATGTCTGGAAGGCTCACACATCAGGAGGGGCTGGGGCAGAAGTTCAGGGTGGCCGTCTCAGGTTCTGCTGGGGTTGAGTTTTCTTCATTGCGGTTGCGAAGGCAGACTATGATGGTACTAAAGTCACATAGGTGTGGGGATGGTATTCAGCAGGCCTTTTGCCAAAGGCAGACGGTGTCCCAGAAAGACTGGTTATAGGTGGCTCTTAATTATCCTCCTCTTCCCTTGGTTAGCAGTATCTCAGCCTCTCAGCCAGGCATGGTGGTGCTGTGCACCTGTAATCCTAGCACTCAGGAGGCTGAGGCAGGAGGGTCGCTGTGAGTTTGAGGCCAGCCTGGCCTACATAGTGAGTTCCAGGCTGACCTCAACTACATAGCAAGACCCTGTCCCCAAAACAAAAACAAACAAAAACCCCAAAGAACAAAACAAAAAAACCCCACCAAGCTAGTATCTTACCCATTAGATCATGATTCTATTATCATCATCATATCAGAAAACAGAAAATATGTATAAGTGTCCAATTGCATGTACTATTTTTTTTTTTTTTGGTACCAGGGACCAAACTCAGGTCCTTCCACTTGCAAGGCAGGCAGCGGAACCACTGAGCTAAATCCCTGGCCCTGCGTGTACTATTTTAAAGTGCTCCGTAAAGAACGCTGTGGGCCTGGGCATGGTGGTGCACACCTATAATTCTAGCACCCTGGAGGCTGAGGCAGGAGGATCACTGTGAATTCAAGGCCAGCCTGGGCTACATAGTGAGTTGAAAATCAGCCTGAACTACATAGTGAGACCTTGTCTCAAAAACAAAAACAGAAGAACACTGTGGATGTTATGTTCATCTATGCTCCAGAGTTTTACCCCCTTTTTTTTTTTTTGGTGCTGGGAATCAAACTCGGGACCTTGAGCTTGTGAGGCAGGCGCCAGAACCACTGAGCTAAATCTCCAGTCCTGCTCCAGAGTTTTACAATGTAAGATGGAAAGCACTGATGCATATATGTACAAGACATGGAAAGCTGAATGAAAATATTAAGAAATATATGACATAGACATACATTGTTCTATATACACATAGCTATATTTGTGTGTGGGTGTGGTACAGGGAGTTGAACCCAGGGTTCTCAGACTGAACTTCATCCCTAGCCCCCCCTTTTTAATTTTTTTTTTTTTTTAGTTTTGAGACATGGTCTCCTTAAATTGCCCAGGCTGGGCTTGAACTTCTGATCCTCTTTCCTCAGTCTCCCAGAGTGCTAGGATTACAGGTGTGCAATAGCACACCCAGTTTATATAGTTTTTTTTTTCTTCCTGGGAGGGGTTGAGACGGTCTCACTATGTAGTCCAGCCTGGCCTTGAACTCACTGTATAGCCCAGGCTGGCCTCAAACTCACAGCAATCCTCCCGCCTCAACCTCTCGAATGCAAGGATTATAGATGTGCACTACCATACCTGGATATAATAGGTTTTTATACAATAGAATTTTTTTTTTTTGGTACCAGGGATCAAACTCTGGACCTTGTACTTGGGAGGCAGGTGGCAGAACCACTGAGCTAAACCCCCGGCCCTATACAATGGAATTTCTTTAAAACTATTTTGTGTTTAAGAGTAGTGTACTGTGGCAGAAGCCCAGTTAAAAGGATCTTGTTCTGGGGGCCCGTAGGTGAGCTGTGATGTGTGTATAAGACATGTGTAGTTGTGTGAGGTGATTGAACCTATGCCAGTGTTTCATTTAACAGTTGATCCCTGTACCGACCACATGGGATCTTTTGGAAACTCCCCCATTCTGTAGCTTCTTCTGCAATCTTATCAAGCAAGATTGGCAGGTAATGCATATGGTAGTAGTTCAAACAATGCTTTTGATCTTTGTTGTAAAGGATCCTTGAATTGTGTGAGGGGTCTGTGACGAAGAGGCTCCAGGAGGCCAGAAGAGGTGCAAGGGCAAACGCGAGTACAGGCTCTCTCCTCGAGCGTGCGCCGGAGTGAGCGCACGGCAGAAGAGAGGATGCGTCTCACATGGTGTGGAAGGTGTCATGGCCTTGGCCATGGTTAAACCGTGTCTCTACCACTTCCAACTTATATAGTAATGCATTAGCCAGTAGGTAAATTAAGCCAGCACACACATTACATTGTGGGAATGACCTAATTGTTTTTCTGAAAACAATTTTATCATTGGCATTACAGTATTAAGATAAAAAAAATAAAGTATTGAAATTGTCTTCATGAAAAAAATCAGAGCTTTTTTGCAATTGATTACACTCATCTTGGCTTAGGTGTGGTGGTGAATACCTGTAGTTCTAGCCACTGGGGAGCCTGAGCCAGGTGGATTGCAAATTCAAGGCCGACCTGGGCAATTCAGCAAGACCTTGTCTCAAAAAAAGCATTGGGGGCTCAATGATAGAACACGAGCCCAGCATGTACAAGGCCCTGCCTTCAATCTCCAGCACTAAAAAAATATTTTTTGTGCTCATCTTAAATTATGTGGGGGGCGAGGGCAACATCGTTCTCCTTTGGATGCGAACAGGTTCCATCAGATCTGAACCAGCTCTGGTACTTCATCAAGGAAAGATGCTGGTTCCTCTTTTATTTCTAGCCTGATGAATGTCATTGGTTTTTCTGGGGTCTGAGTTCACATGGCAGAACTTCCACCTGCTCTGCTGATGGAATGGTCTTACAACCCAACTCTCCCACGGAGCTGCGGCAGCTCAGATGCCCACCCATGCTCAGTTCTGCTTATACAGTGCTCTGTGTGCAGACAGCATGTGGGTTGCAGATTGCTGTGTCAGAGGCTCATCCTTGGCTTTTGGGGAAAACACCATGATCATAATGGATAGCAGCAGTCACAGGGTCACCTTTTAGCCCGGGCGGTTGGTTTATCTCTAATGGCCCGGAGAAAAATAACCTCTAAAAAATGGCACTAAGTAAAACAATCTCTAAAAAGATTGAGATGGAGGAGAACTCTGCATTTATTACCATGTCTGGCCCCCAGAGGAGGCCCCTGATATGTGTGTTGAATACTTTTCCTAGTTATTGTTTGTACACAGTAAGTAAAGGAGTAGAACAAAGGTACTGGATTTAGCTTCTCCCTGCAGACGATGAAAAAAATTCCCACTTTTTCTCCTTCCCCACATTGTTTTTATTAAAGAAAGTGATTCTCAAATGTGGAAATGCAGCAACCGTGGATATCATATTCCTTTACTCTTCCACTAGCCTGCGAGATGGAAGGCAGTGTTTGGCTCTTGCCACCGCCCTCTCCTTCCGTCTGAAAAGAGCTGCCTCCTGCTTTAAGGGCCCCTAAGGATTCTCCCCGTGGAGGTTGAGGTGATGGCCATAAGCAGAACCCAAACCTAAGTGTATGGCATAACTTAGTTCTGAGTCCATGACAGTTTGCATTTTTTCCTGGAGGATTCATATAATGGATTTATTTTCATTCAAGGAATATCATTCCCTTTACCATATCACAAAATCACCAATACTTTTTCTTTCCTCTCTTATCAGTTCTTTCTTCAAATCCTTCATGTTCTTCATGTTATGCCCTAACTCCCCTCTCCCACGTTACCTCCTGCAGACACCCTGCATTGAGCCTTTTACTCAGTCAGAGACACTTGCCTTCCCCTCAGTCATTTGTGTGTGTGTGTGTGTGTGTGTGTG